GGATGCGGAGCGATACGAGTGCGGCAGTTTTGTTTGTTTCTTTGATGTTTGATCATTAATGATGTGCGTATAACAGACGATTTCGCTGCATCAAAAGGCCACATCGTTTCCACTCACTCTGTCTACCTACTTGCAGTTAAAAAATATCTTTTCATTCTCCAAGGCATGCCCTCGATGTTTACTAGCGGGCCAAATGTTTGCGCTTAGCTTTCGTTTCTGCGTAAATTGACTCCTTCCGCACAACTGACTACTAACCTGAGCGTTTTGGTCTATCAAGAGCACATGTATCTTTGTCTTTATCTAGTTTATACTTCACTCAGTCCCCTGGGTCATATTCGTCTTTTTTCAACTTCAGTCAGCTGATCTACTAAGATGTAGCTTTGCAGAATGCTTCGAATACTCGATGATGCTATGAAAGATGTGGAGGATATTCTGGAACGGAGCGTAAGTCCAAGTCCCCCAGAGTCGATAAGACTCACTGAGAAGAAGAAGAGAATACTGGACAGAAAGAATCCCGTATCTGCTCCACATCACCCAACTTACCTCACGATGATCAAGGTCAGTCTTTTCATTTCTATTTGTGTCAATTCTCACGAGACTGAATTTTCCCCGATGGCCTTGACTATGTATCACATTAAGACTACAATAACAAACGTGATTCAGCGCCACATTGGTTTACTTTTTCAGGGAGCAGTGCTGGCCTTGAACGAAAGTAAGGGAGCCAGCAAGCCAGCCATTCTGAAGTATCTGGCTCAGCACTACCCACTGGGAGAGAATTTAACAAAGGTGAACAAGCAATCTACAAATACAAAGCAACCAATTCATGTTGAAAAATGATTTTGCAGATCAATTCGCATCTAAAAACCGCGCTCAAAAAAGGTACTAAAGGCGGTGACATCGAGCAGGTATGGTTTTACGGCGCTACTGGCTATCGGGCCCCAAAATCTATAAGAAAAGGAAATTCTAAATCTCGAATTATATACCCTACTTAAGTCATGATCGCGCCCAAATTTGGTGGAGGGTATTTGACTTACCATCATGAACATCACGTTCACAAATTCTGCCTTCGCGTTAGTAGGCACGCAGTAGGCTTTATAAAAGATCATAAATGGGTTGGAATTGGATGTACATAGAGGGGTTGTTTCATTGCTGATCACGAAAACGCATTCTTTTTGCGTGGTGGCATTTTCACCTCACGATTGGTAGACGGTATGTGAAACAAAATTGCTTCAAATTCTTTTTCTGGGGGAGTATAAGTTTCGTCAGTAGTTCCTTTTTGTTTACTGTATATGTAC